GCCCAGCCTATTCCACCATTTTATGGTTTACGTATAGACAGACACATTCTATTTTGTTTTTCCTATTGCTGTTAGTAAAGTATTGGTGGTTATTAATTAACGGGATGAATAAATGGAAGCTTAATTGTCCACATCATTTAGTACCAAATTGCTCTTGTGTAAAAGAGCACATGTGTAATATATTGTGTACTGTGAATTTTATATTAAAATGATTAAAATATTGCAATGAACTATTTGGAGTTATATTTTGAGAGGATATAAATGTTTAAATCTCCCCCACTTCATATTTCTTTCTTCACTCAGTGAAATCAACTTGCTTCCCAAGGTTGTGATTCTGGTTACAGACTTACATGCTGCGTCATAACAGTTTATGTATTACAAGAATGGTGGAGAACCAATGAGTGTAAATAATTTTAAAAGGATTGAGACAAGGGAAGAAAGGAAAAGGTGAATCTTAGGTTGTCTTAGAAAATTGAGGCAATTTTATGACTTTTGAGGAATTATAAAATAATTGTACCTGAACCTTACAAATTTTTATTACTTCCAACCTGAAAAAGATGAAGGGGAGATATAGATGCTCACATGGTATTATATCTAAATAAACAAAATTTCCCTTCTGGTGCTACAGAATTTTTTTTTAAAGCTGGCCCTCTTGGCACAGATATGAATCTCTCTTATGTTAACATAAGAGAGATGTTATACATAACAGATGTATCGTAATATTGATAAGTATTAGAGATAAGAAACTAAAACAGAACTAAGCCCATTCTAGCTTTAGAGAGAAGAAAGTAAAATTAGTTAGGAAGCTCATTCAATAAATTAGTGCTATTCTCTGTCAGTTGTGCCAATCGTATTTTTTGTTGTCTGCTATTGCCTTCATTAGTTGACAAAAATTTTTTTTTCCTTGAAGGTGCCATAACTTTCTCAGTGTGTGTGATTTTAAAAAATTCAATGAAATTTACAATCTCTGTGATAGTTTGTGAGACCAAGTGTGCAAATATAGTTTCTGAAAGATAACTTTGATTCTTTAGGGATTAAATTGGTTTGAATTTGTCAATGAATTTGGTCATTTAATTTTTTTTCTTCAAACCAATCCATGATTTGCCCATATGTTAATAGGCTAAAAGCAGCT